AAAATTTGGCGGTTCGTCGGGGAAAATAGGCGAAGACGGCCCAATGAGCGAACGAGAAAATTTCCTCATATTGTTTTCTCTATCTGCTTCCACTATCTTGTCTCTGTTTAAGGAAAAAACAATTATGGACGTGACAATAGCCAATGAAAATAAAAAAATTGCATTGTAGCTCAGCGACCTGTTGGGGATGATTGATTATAGGACGATGATTAATTACCAATTAATGACCCACCAGATGCGAAAATCTTCATACTGCTCCGTTTATGGCTATTTCTTTCATACTGTATGAGAATTCTAACAGCCAGATGGTTCAATTCCATAAATTTCTTTTTCTAAATACCATTCCGAATGCTCCGCTCGAATTAATGTTTTTACGGACTTTCTTCAGTTCCGATATCCGTCCCAATTTTTTTCTACTCGAAACCCTCTGCCTCAAAGGGATACTGTACCGTAATTACGTCTATCCCAATTTCGCCCTTAACTCATTCTCTATATCTAGACACAGCAATGAAATTCATCGAATCGGACAATATACGCATGACCCTAAAGTGCCTTTGTGTATATCGAATTCATTTAATTACAATTCCAAGACAATTCTACGGTCCATACATTTTTTGAGAAGAAGGTTCGTACTGACTTGGAGTGTTTCCTTAATTAAGATCACTGATATCGCTCACGTGGCTATCCAAAGCAACCCTTTATTTTAACCCTTGGCTTTGTACCTTCGTGTCTGAATTACAGTTGAACTTCGTGGTACTGACAAAAACATGGACCATCCCATGAAATTTTGTACGTCACACGCCTAACTTCTTGCGGAATATACATATGGAAAATTTCATTGGGTAAGACCATGGAACGTGTTATATTTCTAACGGGTGGCCGCTTGAAAGCCATTTCGGCTATTGTATCGCATAATCCATAGACTCACGAGGGTCTCGAAGAGCTCGTCAGGTCAGAAACCGGATGTAGGAAGAGGATCCTCGAGAATCCGGCTACCCTCTTGTATGGGTTTTCCTACTCGAGCTAATTAACCTACAAGAACCAGTTATGTAAATATACGTAAGGTATTCAGATAACTCAGAGTCTGACATCAGCCTCGTCATTAACTTTAATAAAAGCCCTTTTGCTAAAAGTTGCACGTAAGGATTATTCTGGCTTTTCCGCAATTGATTCAAAAGAAAAAAAAAAAAAAAAATGATTGATTCAAAATTTAATTGGTTTTGGAAAAGCCCTCGTGGAAATGTACTGTTCGGTGCATAAGTTGTAATTTTTCATAATAGATATGCAATGTGAATTACTTTTGTTTTTGTTCAGACCACTACTGTCTTCTGTCGCCCACGAAACGTGCACGTCGCTCTAATGTCAATAAAATTCCACAAGGTCTTTCGGAGTCGTTGAAAGAATATCTGGCAAAGAAGAACAATTAAATAAGAGATACGATATCGCCTATTATTATCGGATATCGATGGAGCATCCCAGTACTCGACCTCGAGCACAGCCGCCATCCTCAGAATTTTTTTTTCCACCCCCTTTCCCATCGCGATAACCTCGGATACGAATAAATATTTTCCAGGGACACATTTTCCCGATATCCGTCGCAGTGGAGAGCTCGATCGCCTCTATTAAAAATTGCTTCTACCTACCTACCAACCCCTAGTTCGATAGCTACAACGTCGTTCACATACAAGATCCCAAGTACATATACACACATATATGTATATATGTATATACAATATATATACACTCAGTAAGACGAATTCGTACGATTTTGAGAGGGTAGTATTTTGAAATAACAGACAACCGTACAAGACAAGCACGCCAAGAGGATGGCCCACGAGAATGGAGGACCATTCCGTCCTGAGTAAGTAGGTAAAAGAAGAGAGAATTCCCAGGGTGAATTCCATTTGGCAAAAGGGGCGCGGTCCTCGGCGGATTATGTCACTCGAAGAACGCGGCTCGGAAATTTGAATTGAGACGTTGAAAATTTTTTTCCAAGGATTTTCAAGGTCAATTCAATGAAAATTTCCTCATCCTTTTGTCTTTGGTTGAATTCCACGACGCGATACCAATCGTTCGAATTTAATTGCTCTCCAGGATTTATTCTTAGCTCGCAGTTTGGTGAAGATTCCTTATAATTAAGGTGTTCCAGAGGACGCGGGACACTGCTTTCGATTAAGTTCAATTATATAATCACCCTCGTCCGTTATCAATTGCATCGGCTGGCTGTCCCGGTACACGATTCTTCCGATATCCCCATCCTTCATACCCTGCCGTCACGATCTAAGGCTTTTTCTCCATTTCCTCCCGATAAATCTCTCTACTCCTTTCGTTTAAGCTCCACTATTGTTTGCAGCCGTCTGGTCGCACGCTGACCCGAACGTAACAGTCGCTATTGTGAACGAGCGGCGATACTTTCTTTACTGTGTTCCCCCTCCAGCCTGCTACTTTGTTTCAGTCGCGCAACCTCAGCTCGTCCCTATACAATATTACGCGTCCTCCGTGAAAACCCCCAACCCCCCAAACTGTATATCGCCCCGGAGCTGCCCTTTTCGCTCACTTTGCAATTTTCCGCAATTCCATTAAAAGCTGTAATTAAACAGTAACGCTCTGCCCATCTGCCGCGTGGCAGGTTAACATCGCACTTTTATAAACTGCACAAAACGTCTGTACACTGGGTGCGGTCTTTTCGCCTTTGTTAAAAAAATAAATTATTATTTCAGTAAACGCTGTGCAATTCTTCCGCGAGTGTACCATACTGCGGATATGTTTGTTCGTGATATTCAGAGTCGTGGATGCATAAGGCCGTTACACGAGTAAAGGATCTTGCTCAGGGGACTCTTTTACTTTAAATATTCATAGGAAGATGGCCCCTCCAAAAGCTTCTTTTACTTCTGGACGGACTACACGTGGACAGACACATGTATCCCACGTGCAATTTGCAGTGTAGCCGGTTAAGGGATGCACGTGCCAAATTCGAAAATTCTGCAACAGGGTGTATCGACTGTGACTGCGCGACGTGTGAGTTCTAAAGGTTCGTTCGCAAAGTTCGAGAAACGGATAAGACAAATGACTGTTGCGTTCGATAGGGTACGCCGAGGTCGCATAATCTTGAGTACAATTACCAGGGAAGTTAACGGGAGCCTCGTATTCAGCTTTCTACTCCAGTGGGATAAACAAAACGCTTGCGGAGACAGATATATGCAGAACTCCTAAGGAATACGGATATTATCAGGACGTTTCTTTTCCTTGTACGCACATAAACCGGAGATGATAAAAATGAATGGTGCGGCCGAACAGTCTAGAATTTTATGTACGACGGACGCAGGACCCTTCCTTCTGGAAGGGCACGTTGTACACTGGCGTGGATTCCCATGCTGTTCACTATACGGGATATAATCTTGCGAATGCTCCACATGTAGAATGCTTACGTATAAATAACCAAATGGAGAGACGCGGAATTACGATCGATTTCATACAGAATCTTTTTACACGCTGTTACTATATCTATAGCGATACCGACCATCGTATTGGGAAGGAAATTCAAAAGAAAGGATTTCCATGCGTCTCTGGTAATATCCAGATCCTTTAATGGGAAATGCCATGAGTCGAATATTGAAAACCATATATTTTTTTCCAACGAATTCGTTCTCGCTGGACTTACGTTATTTACGGATTATTTTCCAAGATCCCTCTCACCGCGAAACATTCCTGGAGGTCACGGAATTCCTGCTCGCGCGGATTCTAACCTTGGACAATTTTCCCCGCTATATTCACACCCCGCGTCGGTGGTCTCGCGAGCGAGCGTCATGCTCCTTCGCGAAATTGAAACCGCGTTTTACATAAATCACGAAGCTCGCCAGGAGGCCAAACGGCCCCGTCGTAAATATTATCATTTGCCGACCGCATAATATTATAAAATTCCCTTAACGTCGGACACGCAATGTAAGTCTCGTCGTTGCGTTTAAACACAGTGCGACTCCGTTAAACCGCAGACGCAGAGCATGGTTAACCCTCGTGACAGCCCACTCGATCACGCAAGAACATAAACACATCAATTTAACCCTGATGTACTTCCTATGTGTATAATAATAATAACTGCTCCAATCTCCCTCAAGCAGTCATTACAGACCATTACGAAATCATTGACCACTGTCCTTTATTGCTACCGCGCGCAGTGTTTACGCGTACGGAGAAAAGGTTTAGATAAAAGAAAAAGATAGGTCGCTATAAAATATTCACTTAAAAAAAATAATAAATATCGACAATCTCTTATCTACTCTCATTTATCCTCCTTACCATTGTACACGTATCCCGCGTTCCAGAAATCCTGACGACAAAGATTAATCGAGACTCGGATATACGGTTGGTCAGATATACTATGGAGGATGAAGACCCTTTGGGAACAGCTGAGAGAAGGGAAAAAAAAATAAAAGGACAATATATGCACGTACGATGGTAGCATAGTTCTCCCTGGGTTTATTGTAGAAAGTCTAAAGGGTAGTAATAAAGACTAAGGAATTAATTCCGAGTCTCGTGTAAAAATAGAGGTTGGACTCGAAGCTACATAATTAGCCGGGAGGAGAAATATAGAGGAAGGTATTTGTGGGTGTTTTAGAATTTAAATGTAATTACGTATGTATTTACGCGATATATATAGATTTATACATGCCATTGTCAATCTAGATAGAAGTACTGTACTATACCTAGAACCACCCGGTACATGGTCAGACAGCTCGGAATTAGTCTATGCGCTCAAACTATTATTCATGAGTGAATCAATAGTTGAGCTATATGTATATATACTATGTACAATCTAGCTCATGGGATGCCTATAGTGTATATAGTATATAGCATATCAGCATATCTCAAAGAGAGTCTAGTAGAAAGAAAGAAATCGTATTGATCCCCGTGTATTAATCGTGCGATAATGTACGTTGAACGTGTACCGGGTTCGTTAAGGATCATGCACAAGGACAATGACGATACTCCTGGTAATCCAGCTGTGCGTAAATGTGTGTTCCCAGACGAGGCAGGATTAGCCGCGGAAGCCGAGTCGAAGAAACCCGAGGAACGTACCGACGAAGAGAAGATGGCCTTGCTCGGGCGTCCACGTTTAGGTGAAGTATGCAAGGCTCAGATAAGGATCAAGGAGTCTAAGGAATTCAAGAATACCGTCGATAAGTTAGTGCAACGAGCCAACGCTTCGATACTCCTTGGTACGTCTAGAAATTCAAGAACCTCTAGGCCCGCATGCTTCTATGGCTTCTGCTTGCGCCTTTGCTGCATAGGTGAGAGTGCATTAATAATATTTTAATTCCTCTCGTATCGACTCTCTCGTCTCGCTCTTGTTTCCTTTACGTACGATCCGTGTCTCTTTGTCTTTGCGTGACTTTCTATCTCTTTTTCTTTCTAGACGTAACATTACTTTCAATACTACAATATTTTTCATTGCATATAAATATATTTATATAACGAGTCATTGTCATACGGATACCCCGTATACGGGTACTTCAATTATTTGGATTCACACATTCCATTATGAAAAAGACGGGTTAAGCGTGCTCATTGTCACTTTTAAAATGGTTATTTTTTTACAGGAACAATGGATCAAATAAACGAGCACCTCCGTCCGTTTCATAATCTTTCTATTCTCTGTATTTTTTTTTTTTTTTTTCCTTGATATATATCTTTATATATCTGTCTACCTTCGGTGATGCTTATACGTACGTTTGGCACGTATCAATTCGTATATACAGGCATTCGAAAATTTCAAGAACTTAATCCCGATTACTTTGTTACGATAATTAAAGCATACGAAGCGGGTATATAGGTTCTGGTACTTCGGGATGTTATACGGAACCATAGCTACGAGAGTAACCAGGTGAAAATCTTTAGTGCTCGTTTACTCCCGGTGCCGTGAAATCCTATTATCCAGAAACTGGTAAACCCCTCGTTACCGTTCCTCATTTCTTTTCCTCCGTCACTTTTGCCCGTTTCCTTCTTCCACGTCCCTTCCAGCATTACCTCGACAAGACAGGAGGGTGATGGCATTAACATTCACGCAGGAGAAGGTGATCGAAACTTTGTATTCTAACCTAAAAAACATACTTGTCTCTCAAGGAATCTTGTTAGGCAACCGATATCACTTTCGAAATTTCTTTAGCGACGAATCGTAGCAGTCTTTAATTTCGTCAGACGATCCTTCCTGGTCGTAAAGATAACACCTGACGGGAGAAGAGGGGTCGTTCGGACTTGTTCAGAGAGTGCCGGTAGTATCAGCTTTATTAAAGCAAATCCTTTTGTTTGATAAACCCCTTTTTTATTTTACGGACATCCTTTCTAAAAAAAGAAGTACGAACAACGCTCGATGTAGAACCTAGCGGCCAAACTGAGAACTACTGAACCGGAGACCTCCGCTTGACTTTCTACATTTTTCTCATTGATAAAACGTTCCCCCGGAGGATTCGCCCGAGGCTCGATCTTCCGACGCATTGGGGTGCTTTTCGTCCTCTCAAAAGTCGGAAACTCCACTGCTTTGGAATTGACAAACGATATTTTTCACGTGCTTTATTTCTGTATGTATATATATATATAAATGAATGCATACAGGACTTTACTGGTAAGTCGCGAATGCATAACGACCTGGAATACAACGTGAAAGAATTTTTCTTGCTTATCACTCAGGGTTACACTGTTATCAGCATGATGGAGACGACGAGGAGTTTCGATTTATCAAGATCGAAATAGGTCGACTGGGAAATTTGTACAGTACTAGAAACATAAAATGCTTGAATATTAACGATCATGTAAAACACGACTGTCTCGTATCCCATACCGAGTAAAGGACTCAGGTGTATACACACAATCAGTAACGCTGCAAGGAGTTGAATATTTCCACACACGATGTTCGAAAGAGGAACGAGAGTCGTTAAGGAATCATTAAAGTTTTAGTGTTTGCGTTTATTGCATGCAAAACATTTTCCTAGTCTTCCCACACGCATCTACGAAGATACAAAATTCATACTCGCAATTGTGATTCAAGGTATGCGATAACATTTGGCTTTACGTTAGTTGAAGATTGTATATGTTTTTTTTTTTTTTGGAATTTACTGTGAAAGACGGAGCACGAGGGATACCTGCGTTTGGATATTTCGAAAATTAACTTTGAGCACCTCGAGCATCAAGCATTGTTTTTTATCCCCGTGTAAACGGGCTTCCCATTGCTATTTATCGAGTGATCCTCGAACCGATAACGTTCATTGTCTCTCCCTAAAATTCACTTTATTCAAAGAGAGATTACGCGAGAACAATACCACGCTGGTATTATGCGAACGAGGGACGTTTAAAAAAAATTCACCACTGATTTCCCGTCATTTATCTTTTTGTTCCGTTTTTCTTTTTTAACACACGATCAATACCGACCCCCTCTATTTAACGACTTGGCTAATACAACCCTATCTTATTTTCTTATACGATATTCAATTCATAACGAGAGTAGCCTCGCTATTAAAGATTTCGGAAACGCGACCGGAAGGATATAATGACCTGGTGCCAACCTTTAAAATGTTACGTAAATACCGAGCTTGGTAACCAATTTTATTTCGATTCTCTGCACGTCAACCGAACGTTCTATTACATCCTTTCAATTTATGCCTCGATATATCATCACTACTATCAGTCAAATTAGTTATCGAATCCTTCGCTCCTCTGTGTATATTACGTAGAATTACGTCGTGTCTGTATGTATACGCTGTTTATACAGTTATCGCTAACGAAGCTGTTTCCTTAGCTAAATGCTATTATGTATCGTAGAATGTACAGCGGTTGAAGGCGAATTTGCAATTATTCTGTGTGAGAGCGTATTTCAATAGGTAGCTTCTATAGTAAGTATTGTATGCTTGCCGGCGAGTAAGTTTGCTTCTGCGCGTTGTATCTCAGGAGAGACCTTAAGCCTCGAATTTTTCAGTGGTTTGGTATATCGATTGGACAGTTTACTATCTATTTCTTTGTTTATTATTCTTTGACTTTGCCTGTGACTAAAAGTTAAAAGTTACTGAAGCCCACGTACTTTGAGGGATGAAAAATTCGATTCAATCGAGAGCCTCTATTGTGAACTCTTATTAACCCTTACATTTCCCCGCATATATTTACCTGTCGCCTCATTGACATTTCGGAGGTTGTTTTATGACAGGAGTGGGATTACTTGTTGTCTGTTATACGTACTATGTACATATGTATATTATATCCTAACAGCATGCACTATTTTTGTGATGATCATTAATCGCCTTTGTAATTAACATTACCTTAACCCTCTTTCGAGCTTGTTTCTATATTCCATACGGTGTGTGCATTTGAGTGACGATTCGTAATGGCGTCACGTGTGATTTACTTTACTAATGGCATTGTAGGTACCAGTTCCTGGAAGGAACAATTCACGGAGGCTCTTACTGTCAGCGGAGGTGACGAGGATGAAGCTGAGGAAGGCGCAGAACCCAGAGTATCATCCCCGTCGCCAGCGGATTATCTCATGCACTCGCTCACGATCTTCTGGAAAGTTCTCTTCGCTTTCGTACCGCCTACCGGTACGTTCAATTATTTCCGTCTTAAGTGAATATTAGCGTTACTTTGGAAAACTATGTACACTCAACGTGTACTTGGAAGACTTGACGTACGTATCTCGTCAGCAAGAAATATGACTGAGATGTTGAAGCTCGCGTGGAAGCAGGTCGATTAAATTTGGAAGAGCGTCGATTATCGTTTTTCATGAAAAATATGTGTACAGAAACTTCTAGAAGCTTTGACGTACCTTACCGGGGAGAAATATTTTGAGCATTAGCAAATTCCTGATTACACATAGTTACGTGCCTCAAAGCTAACCTATTACTGTAATTTGCCCATTACTCAGTACAGCGTAAAAGCAGATAAGATTCTTGAAAGTATTCTTGAAGTTCAGGATGAAGGGTGTCAAAAGAATAATTTACCAGGTCTCCCATAGAAGAGGAGCACTAGTTCCAAACACGTCGTGGCATTAAAAAGAAAACCAGTCAACTCCTTGGTTGACAAAGTAGCCCAGTTTGCGGTTTGGATCGATAGAGTCTTCACGTGAGCAAACTACAAGGTAAATACGACGTAAACCTGAAGTTTGATAACGCGACGAAATTAAGAGACGACACTTGGCTTGCTAGAGAGATCAAGGAGTATGTAGGAAAGATATGCTACTCCGTTTCGCATTGGGATTTAGACCCCAGGGAGAAGATTCATAGGACTGGTCCTCGACCTTACGCAGGAGCCAATGGCGAACGTGCGAGTTACGTCGAATCGAGTATACCCGAAAATTCCAAGTCGCTGCAGGAACTGTTGAAAATTGTGGTAGCTGGTCAAAGTTCGGAGACATCGTTCCAAAGTAGCTAAGCATAGAATTACCAGAGTTCGGAAGACTCGAACGCTCTGATTACAGTATAAAGCTCAGGCGTTATTGGGGTTACTCAAAATACTCAGTGCCCGGATTATACCCCAGCAGTAAAGTCTACTTTTGGAAACTCGACATTTGGATCTCTGATGGAGCTTTCCCACGTTCGATGCTTCGTAATACAACACGGCTGGCCATAAGTGCTCGAGGTCTACCACCGAGGGTCAAGGTGTTCGCTGTCGACGTGAACCTCGCAGCAAATGTCGACTGGAACTGTCCTATTCACAGTAATTGCTTCTTACTGCAGCTGGCATTTCACTGGCATGATTAAACTCAGGCAGTTTGTCGTTTTTCACTATCGCATTCCATTCGGAATATATGGGCTCACGTATGTACAGACTCTGACCTGTGCTCACCCGATGGGTTTGTTAGCCTACGACGAGGCGGAACGATACTGCCCACGTCAACGGATACCGTATAACTTGAGGTCAGCCGATTTTGCACGTGTGACTTCCATGTTTGTTTTGTTACATCAAGCGCTTTTCGAAACTTTAAAAGCTTTGTATATAGGACGTCTCGATGTCAACGAAAAGAGCTTTGAGAACACAGCTGCTCTTTCTCGATACGAGAGCTACTAGTTTACGGTGGTCTGGATTGTCTAGAATTCCGGACCCTCCACGGTTCGTACTTGGCCCTCGATAAAAGCTCGAGGGGTTAAAGGGAATGTTCCTGACACACCCCAGGGATAACATTCGGAGAGGGCCAGAAGGGTGGGCTTGCAGAAACTTTTTATGCTACGTAAAAGAAGCATATATATACATTCCATAAATTTATATCTATACGTATAAGACTGTCAATTCTGCCAACGTCTTTCGAAGTCTTACCGCATTTGCATTTTCGAAAAGAAATTTTATCTCTTAAATAGCTATCCTGTCGATTGCAGTCGTCGCGGTTGCAATTCAAGACCAGATTTAAATTTCATTTACATCAGAATCTCCCTATAGAGTCGCGTATCCTTGGGGGTGATTTTTTTTTAACAAAGTGAACGCAGGGCAGAGCCGATGGTCTTAAATGAGCTTTAGGAATAATGGCGCTGATATGAACTTCGGGTCGGGCCGCTCTTGAAACTCCTGGGATATTATCTTAGAGCAGGCTGCACCCGGAGGATGGGAATGGGATTTGCGACGCTCATTGTCTACTCCGTGGACTCTCGCCTTCTCTTGAGCTCCAAGGCATTACATCCGCATCCTTCCTGCCGTGCACTTACAAACCAGACCTAAGGTCTCCTTATCCTCTGCCGCACCTAACTACACCTAACCCACCTTGTCCTCCGTTTCCTTGCGCCTATTAAGCGCTCACGCCAAAGCCTTCGGGATAATTAATCCAGCCTGGCATATAACGAGAACGTGGAAAGTTTCACGTAGCACGTCTTTTATTTTTCCATCGTTGCCAGAACCTACTGGAAACAAGTAAATAAGCAAATTTAAATCGACCCTAAATACCGTGGAACGTCAATTTCAATCTGCTAATAATCTAGCGTTCTTATTCGTTCTGGCACGCATGATCGTGTTTCTTTTTTTTTTGTACGTCTTTCTAATTAGTTACGTTATTCTGAACACGTGCGCTTACCGGAGTCATAATACTATCCGAACAATCCTGGATATCAGGTTTAACCAGATACAATAGCAATAACTCGTAGTGAATTTATGCGCGTCTATATCCCAGCCAAAGGACGACAGGAGGTTACTGTGTCACGTGGATACTCGCTTATACGTATTTACGCATACCAGCAAGATATCCATAAAGTCTCGCGTATAGAATTCACCGAGGAACAAGGGATTTCATGCTATTTATGAGATACGACAGGAGATACACGTGCACGATCATTTTGCACACAGTACGTATATCCAAGAATTGGTACTCTTGCTTTGCCACGGGTACTTGTGGGAAGTTTTAGTAGAAAAAAAAAAGCCGTAAGTATAAGTGAAAAGTATGTATATAGGTATACGTGAAAAATATAAAATCTCTCGTAATGGACCGTCCACCAGAGGCTGGTTGGTAAAGATTAATGCCGTTGAACTTTTAGGAAGGAAATTTTCTTCGTCTCCCCATCCCCTCCGACACTTTCTTTTTTTCTTTCTTTTTTAAAACCCTCAAAGCATCACGGGATACGACGACGGCGTAAAGTTAGACACGCTAAGAGACCAAGTCGCTCCTCATGAAAAGCAGTTGTCGAAGGGGCAAGCTAGTGATTGATTGATTTGATTCACGTGCTCGGAGGATATCCGCACCACGCCCTGTTATTTCTGCCAATAATATCGGCATGGCATCTGATTTCAAGGTGGTTGCACACTTACCGCGTGCCTAATTTCTCCTATAGACGCATCACGGGTCAAAATCGTCAAGGTGGACTGTGTCATGCGTCCCTTATACATTTGGAGCATCTGCCTCTGGTTCACCGGCCGTTGACAAGAGACAGAAACACACCGTGCAGGAGCGAGAGAAAGAGACGAGAGACTCCCGATTCCGCCCTATGCGGATTACCATACCAATTTTGGAGCTCTGGTATATGAGTCACTGTTGAATTTCATCGACGACTTATTACCCATATAATTATTCAACGATTAACGAATGCTTGTCACTCGCCATTGTTCTAGGAGAATGTCGATAATGGGGAGCAATTTTACGTTTTTTCTCGCATTGTTTTTCTCCCTTGAAAATATAACGACTCGGTATCCTTGCTGTTTCCCGTGCTAGTTTTTCAGCTGGTGCACGTGCAGCATGTTAAATCCCGCAAAGCACTGGCAACCCGGATGTATAAACAACGAAATATATATATGTATATAGTAGCGTGCAGATAGAACGACTGCGAAATAATAATCGCAACATAGCTACCGTTCCAGCCATATTTATCGGGTGCTCTCAATATTCAGGTAACACCGGTCGACACCGAGAAAATCAGTTTTCAATTGGCAACGTTTTGGTGAATATTTTCAGAAAATTCATTCTCAACAAATCTGTACTATTTGCGTTGACTTTCGCTGCAAACCCCTTTTTCTCACTTACGATTACGTACGCATACGCTGTTGCCCGTAGGTGCAGTCTTTGGACGCCTTAGAAATTGTAGAGCCGCTATACGTGAAGCGTCAAAGGTACACACTGTTACGCGGTACAATGCGAACCAAGAATATTTGGCTATCCCCCTAGTTTTCTACCTGTGTATCGTTACCTGTGCTCTTTGAACGTTTTCATCGAAATGAAGTTTTCCACGGTGGGTATGTGGGTACACGAGACTCTTTTCACGGTTCTTTGAAAGTGTCTCCAGGGCTTTGGGAGAGCCTTGAGCTTCTCTACCTTTTCTTCGCGCCTGCCAAGGCGCCGCCTGCCGACGCCCACGGTATCCATGCAGTATCCTAGATACATTGTTACTGCACAGTGAGTACGTGGAGTGAGAATAAGAAGGCCTATAGAAGGAAGCTGAATAGGAAGGAATATCGAAAGAGCAAGAGTTCACGGTTACATGTGTTATACGAGGATCAAGCAGGTCGTTTCAGAAATATAGTATCCGACATTAAGATTCTCGATGAAAGCTGGGCGTCCCACGATGCTTTACTTATATCGGCAGGAAATTAAATTCCGCGCATAAGTTTATAGGGCTTTTCCAGGTGATGAAAGTGAAATTAGAAAAATGAAACTTTTTTACGATACGAAATATCAACTTTTTGCGACGCTCGAGCTCTTCCAACGAGTTTCTCCACGCGCGATCCCAGATGGGATAAATTTTTCTTTTATCTCGTCTAAGCGAAATTTGAGTCGGTACCGAAAGCGCTCTGGCGTCCTAGCGACGTTCGACGAATGAAAAGAAAAATTTCATTTTTATCTTCCAAACCTGACACGCGCTTTAACCACTGTACGATCGATCCTATCGATGTCGACCTTGTCAGAGGCTTTCTGCCCCACAGTGGATGACGGACAGATACAATGGACCAGGGTGGGTTTATTTGCAAACAGTTTCACCAATGTTCACGTACTCTGGCTTTTGACATAATAACGAAGCGTATAGTTACTCTATTTCCCTTTTTACGCCATATACGTCATCCACCATAATCTGCCGTAAAACTTTGTCTGACCTATATTAGACTTAACCACTTTTACCACGTGATAACAGTTAGCCGTTGCCGAGTACCTGAAAACGCATGCAGACCCAGGCGAAGTTTGAAAACTCGGAGCGAAGCAATTTCGGTATTCAGTCTACTTCGGTGGAAGGAACTTTTTCTTCTACTCAAGCATTACACAACAAATCAGAGTTTCGTTTGCACGATTATTAAAAGCGTCACAGCAGTCTCGGTTAAGTCCGTTGGTCGAACGCCCACGCCCGAGGAGGCTTCCAGTTTAATCGAGAACGAAAAAGAAAATAAATGAGACAGGTAACTCGAGGGAGGAAAGCTTTGAATCTTTATTAGGATCGTCACACGACGAATCATTGCGTTTTAACGAGTAGCGTCAGCTTTCTGTCTCTCTGGGTTTTGTGTAAGCAAACGACTAATTGCACACACGCACTCACGCACACAATGCTTCCGAAGGGCCTTGAGCTTTTCCCGGTGCGAGAAAAAGCGAAAGCGAACCCACCGACGGTACTTTTACCTCTCGTAAAGCGTCCATGCTTTATCCATCTGGCAGCTTCAATTTCCCCTGGACGAGGGGACAGAACTAACGTAAATTCCAAACGGTCAACGGGAGCGCTCACGTGTTCGATACGTTAAGAACTTTACGGAGACCACGAAGCCGTCGCCTGTCGCACGTAAGGCAGCACGTATAACGTAACCTAACCTAACTTATATGTATTACCAAATATATCTATATATTGAATATAACTGTATATACGTGGGTATATAATTTTTACGTTTTATTCATCCATAGAAGCGACCGTGCATCGGTGATGTCTAACGCGATGAATTTTACCAAGTGCCAAAAACCCCAAGAAATGTCGTGTTCGCTTATTTTCCTGGCCAGCCGGAAAAGTTCGACACCGGCATTTTCCTCGTTACGACTTTTCCACCTGGGAATCCATCTCGATTTATCGAATCGAAGGAATCTCGAGGGTCGAACGTCAATTAGTGAGGTTAGAAAGTAAGAAGGGTTGGTCTCTCTTCTAGGTTGGTCAGCGGACGATGGGTCAGTGAAAAATTGCCTTAACTTTTTTACTCTCTTCTTTCTCATCTCTGTTTCCAACAACCATTCTAGCGGATTTCCACGTTTCTATGGCGACCAAAGTCGTTCAATGTTCGCACTGTACTGTCGGCTGTCGCTTTCGACCCTGAAGAAAGAGGAAAGATGGTGAAGAGACTTGCGAAAGAAAAAAGAAAGTACCGAAGGAAGAACTTCGTCCAATGACCTAGAAACGCAGTCAGAAACTAAGGAAGTAACGGCAGGCACAAGGGAGTCGTATAATGAAGAATTGGAAGAAAAACTGACGAAGGAACAAAATATGATAAGAAAATGAGAAAAGGAAAAACGAACTTTATTTCGTTTAAAAAAAATGGTAACCAAAAGAATTGTCAAAAAAGCAATCTATTTTGAAAATATTACATCCGCCATTTTTTCTATTTATATCACTCGCATATCGGCATTGTCATATTTCCTAGTATGTATCTGATAACAAGCGACACAGTGCTGTCATAACAAAATCTTGCTGATGCATTCTTATGCGTTCCTTTCACGATTCGTTCGTATCCATTGGAATTTTATGAATTAAATCCTTTTATAGTTTTAACCAAGGACGTTCATACCCAAGTGAACTGTTCTCTATCGTCGTCCAGCTCCTTTTCTCGGCTCCGAGTAATCGATACTAATGAGAATATCCTTGCAGAATTAAAATACGCCGCATCTGAGGTATTCTATTCTATTATTTATTCGACTCACGGTGAGGGACAAGGAGGACGAAGGGGAATATAAAATCAGGATAGATACACCGGGTGCGTTCAAGGATACACCCTGCAACTCCTGCAAGGATTAATCTCGCCAAGGATGTTCTTGCACCAAAAGTACCAAGGCTGTGCTTGGTGGTTAGAGCACCGCAAGTGAAAGGTTACATAGCATGTATCTTGGTAATATGTATAGCTATATAGAATGATTTCTTATATATATATATATATATGCATATACACACACCTAGTATGTAAGGTGAATCAAGCTGAAAATGGGAATGAAGAAAATTCAATGCCTCAAGCGTGTACACACCACCAAGCGGATTTAGGAACGTTTCTGCCCACGTAGATGGTACACGTGCTTTGCGGTTTCTGCTGAATTTCACTAAGAATTATGGGACGTAGGATACCGTTAAATCCTTTTCCTGCGTAATATTCGTCCTCGCCATTTATCTCAGGTGCCAGACGCTCAAGCCCATTATCAACGGAGTGACATAAAATAAGGCTGTGGAGGAATTGATAGATTTTGAAAATTTCTTAAGAGATTATTTGGATAAAAGATTTCTCTTTAGTAAGTTCTTCATTAATCTTGAACTGTACCGAGGATTCAATGTAAATTTTTTTTTTATTTTCCTAAGAAAGTTTATGTACGATTTTGTATATCGATGTTTTCCACTGGACTATTTACGACGGCAGACACTTTACCGGCGGCCATCTGTAAAAGCGACGGATAGAAGCTATGAACCGTAAAATGAGGACAAAACGAAAGACAGGAGAAATTGTGGGAAGAACGACTGTAGGGAATACCAGGAACAACGTGGTGGACCGCTTCCTATGCATCAGGATGTGTGTCACGCGTGAACCCATAATTTCTGAAACGGAAGCAGGTCACGTTCGCATGACAAAACTGACTACCTCGTTCGCCAAATATATAATACCTTAATCGTGCGAAATTTACGTTTGAAAAATTATCGGCGCTTAAAAAGTTACACGTATCGTCCTAGTCTTCGTCGTTAAAAATAATTTGCCTGGTACTAAAACATCACGTTATCACGAATTTACAAATTAAAAAAAAATTCCAGTCAAACTGGCTCGGTAATGAAAGTTTGCTTTCATCGGTACAATTTATTTGTTATACGATGATTCATGTATTTAGGAACCGATCGATAAACCCTGGGGTAAATTGAAGGAAACGTCAAATTTATGAGAGGGGCTCTACCTAAAACTAGTAACTAGCGAAGTTGGGTTCTTAGATGGATTCAACGGGACTTTTCAAAAAATTTCCACCGTATTGCAATATTACGTAAATCCTAAGTCCAGGTTGCCTACCGTCTAGACTGTGTGCTCTCTTTATTTTTATTAAGTTTTAAGATATATGCGTCTACGAAACAGCCAAATGACAGGATGGACTGATTATTTCGAGGACAGTAATCATTCTGGGTACGAAGGTATATTCTTACTGGGTTCGTCATCGACCAATACGTTCCTCCAAGGTGCTAATCTACTACCAGACTTATTACCATTACCGTTCTCCTTTCTGCGTGCATCCTGAGCCGAAGTGAATGATTCCCAGTTGGGCGGGATGAACCTTGACAAGACATTACGGTTGCGGAACTAGTAGCTACTCTTAGCAGCGTTGATTAATCAAACCTAACCAACCTATGTTGATGGTTCCCAACCACGAAGGCCTGGTTTACAGGGATTGGCTACGTATTCCTTATTAGACATTGAACAGGTCAGTGGTTCCCAAATCGCGTTAACCACTACAACTGATTCCCTTTAATTTAGTCGCAACACTTGCCGGGTGCTCAACGTGCCTACTCCTGCTTGATAAAGTAACGACGTCAAAACAATATGAAAACATATTAAAGAACGTTAACTCGGAGAACCACTGACCGAAAGAATCTATGGCTTCCTCCCTTTCAACGTCCGTCGATCTATCGACTTTGGCCTAATACACGTAATTATATTGACAGAGTTCACAAGACATAGAATTCTTTTATAGAAAATATAACCGCGTAATGACGTATGCAGGTTATTCGGACGATACCGGGAGGGTTGTCAAAAGCTCGCACCCTTCGTATTTTCTGTTTCGCCTTTAACGTGCACGTGCATTGTGAAGAGGCACAAGAGACTGGAGTATAAGGGCTGGCGCTGCGAGTAAAGACTCATTTTGGCTCTGAAAATTGCTTTAACGAATCTTTTCAAGCGTCTCGGAGGAGACTCCAGAGCTCAGTCCCCGGTGCCAGTACTCCAGTCAACCACCACCAGGGGTACCGGTTCTTTCAAAGGCTGCTGGACAACCTGTTGATGATCTTGACTATGTTACAGATATCGCCGGTGGATACCTGTCCTTTGTCGTGAGCATATTCGGCATCGGAGTCGTCACTGCAGTCATCGGCGACATTGCATCCTACTTCGGATGCACCCTGGGCATAAAGGATTCCGTCACCGCTGTTGTCTTTGTCGCCCTGGGTACCAGTATTCCTGGTGAGTCCAAGCACCTGCAATGAATCCGTAATATCGACAGCTGCAATCTGTCAGTGGCTAATGCGATTTCGCATTAACACCTCGGGATATCCCTCGCTAATTAACGGAACCACTAATTGTATATGGGTCAAACACAACGTATCCTGATATCCCGCGTACAGAGAGATATTTTCATTAAGGATTTTCGCGAAAATCACGGCAATCCTGGGACATCGTGACATTTTTAATAATATCTGTTCTCTAATAATTTATCGAAACAGTCGAATTTTAAATGGAGCACATTCGTTTTTTACCGGGGTCCAATGCCAGTAATTTCGTTAGTTGATAAAGTAGCCAGTAAAGCTCGAATTTATAACTTGGTTAATTTATAAGCTCTTTTAAGAAAGCCAAATTATAACGAGTGCTGTACTACACTTTATCGCGTGATTCATTATTTTGAAGACTAAACAGAAAAAAAAGTATTGGATACTCCCACAGGTCTTATTATGGAATTATACAATTTTACGTGATAAGTCATTTCTCTACTGTTTTTTGTTCGGTAATATTTAAGTGATGCTAGTAGATTAACGATGACGCACGTTATTCGCTTGTTTACAGCAGTACCTACGTTCTTGAGATATTTCCAGTTCTCATTCCTGAATTTTTGAATTTTCTCTCTTGGCTTTACATAAGAATATTTTTCCACGATACCCTGTACCTTCTGATGGCATTAAAAATGCCTTATCGGTAAGAGGATTATGGAATGCCACAATGTCCTACGGTTTCCATTTTTTAAGATTATTTTTTATCCTGATTTCACACGAGAAATTATTGAACAATTCTCTCTGTGCATCGCTTTAGCATCTGTCTCCGTTACTCCCAATATGTCTCTCAGATTTAATCTCTATGAAAATAACAGGAACGCCAGACCGCAAAAAGGGATGAAGCGGTCGAGCAAAATTGCCTGTCAAACCGGAAACTGTCACGCGACGGTGAAAGGAGTCGTTCATCCATTTGGACGTTTCCTGTCTCTGATCCTCTCACCCCGTGCCTCTCCCCACCTTCAGCACTCGAATGTCACTAAAGGAAGTAACGTTGCTCCTTATAGGGTTGGACGTACATATCTATCCTTCCTAGAGACACGGTAATAAATCTGACACTAATTTTAGTACAAGGGGTAGTAAGAGTAACTCTTATTCTGATCTACAGTGATTTACAAAAAGTTCTCATGGGGACATAAAGTTTTATCGGTTTCATCGAAAATTTTGTACGGGTATAAGTTACTCAGGAAAAACAATTTCAGAACGTTTACAAAAGCGCATCAGGGTTATTTGCTGGATAGCGCTTTAGGCGTTCGTTGTCCAATACACTCGGGTCCATTAATACCTAAAACATACGTTGAACATTTATGACGAGCGTGAAACTTTAGATTGCATATAGCTGCTACAAAATTTGCTCAACTATTTGCACACAATTTTACTATGTAACTACAAGGGAGGTCTAGTCAGTTTAAGTGGATCTGTTAAATTCGACAGCTGACGTGAAAGGACCGTTAATTAGAAACAACTCTGGCAGACCTTTGGCTTGCTTCCGGTACTTGCTTTTCAATTTCAATTGGACAATAGCAAGAGTCTGAAATGCCAATATACATTGAAGTATTAAATTATCACTGTTGAATAATATGAAAATTTGCATACCTCGATTTCAAAGTGCTTGGCTCACGTAGGAGGAAGTTTTGAATGTGTATAACTTTGAAACGGTTTGAAATATACATAGAGGCGATACAGAGTATCCCTCTGATCGTCAATTGTAAGTTTTATTATACGTCTGTCTTTCTCTTACGCACGTAAACAGCCATAAGATCTGATCGGTTGATAACATTGAAAGCCTATACGATATTCACGTTGGCAACTTTGCTCGGATTTGGTCTATACGCCGGAATGCATTAAATATTGTCATACTGTAGATACGTAACCAAATCAGTCATTCGACGATTGTCAAATTAGACTTTTGTATTTGTGCCGCATAGCCACGTGCAACCGCAAAAAAGGCTGACATGGTAGCCTTGGTACCATGGGGTAGGATGGGTGGACAGGGGGGAGTATAAAATTGTGCATTTAACCAGAGGCAATAATCGAGATAGGTAATTACCGTTAATAACGCGCCCAGGGGTGTAGTAGGTTAACGGCGAACCACCAGGGGACCAGGGACGGCGAGGGTAAACGTCGCGGTGCTGGCGTCGGACAATAAAAAGGATATGCCGTAGGGTAAATTATAACGCGGGCACGCGTTAACGGGGACAGCGCCATGAAATGGAAATGAGAATTCAATTCGATAAAGCGGCTGGGAATTATTTAAACCGGTGTGCTCGGGTGCTGGCAGCACGTTTTAATAACGGGTGAAGTTGAAGTTGAGAGCCTTCGTGTACTCTTGGTTGCAGATTTCAATTCCTTTTTTTTTTTAATTTCCCCTCCTGGCTCTCTTCGCTCTCATAGGGATGCTCGGATCGAGCGCAATTAAGCAGAAGCTAACGGGAGGTCGACGAGTAGCTCTGAGCTTGGGTTCTTTCACACAGCCCAACTGCAAAAGGCATACCGAGGCCATTTTACATAATTCCAGGTGCCAACGAGAGGCCGCGTTTTCATCTGAACTAGTACGCTTGTAGATTTTCAGAAAGCAAGAAGAAAGGGGCGACTGGAAAGTTCGCGAAAGTGGAGTAGAGGCAATTGTTTGTGTGTCTGGAGAGAAAGAGAAAAAGCAAGCAGAGAGAAGAGGTGCGTGGGTATGAAAGTAAAGAAAAGAGGATGCGAGGTTGAACGGGGGAGATAGGGATGATTTTTGTCAGGGATATGGGAAATTATTTTTTTTCAATAAATTTCGATTTATCGATGTCAAGATCGTAAATGGTGCCATAAAGATGTCGTACCATGATTTTATATACCACGGACATTGATAAATAACGAGCTACGGTTATCCATGAGTCAGGGCAATTCCCGGCTTTTAATACGGCATTGATTTTAGGGCTCATAGCGTCCTACGTCCTTCTTCTTTTTGTACCTTTATCATCTCATCGCTGAGTGCCGGAATTATTGGAAGAGAGAAAAAGTTACGGGCGAGCTCGCAAGATAACGGGAAGTCTAGCTGGGAAATTTTCTTTAAGACGACTCGTCGGCACTGACGACGTTTTCTTAACGATATCGGCAACTGCACGGGGAAATGAGTTTAACACCCTTGGAATAAATTGCCTGACGGCGACTGCGTTCCTCTCGATTACCAGGAGGCTGTTGGTCCTTATCCCATATCCCCCTGTCTCTTCTGCATGATATCTTACGCGTGTACAGTCTGAATAGATAGGGTATAATAACCTCTCAGTTTTCGTGTGTCGAACACCCCACGTGGTTCTCTCTGACGTTGATCGATTGACACGAGACAGGTTCTTGCGGTGGTACCCTAAATCGTTAGGGTTAAGAATGAGTTTAAAATTGAAAGATCGGTGAAGTAGGTCAATCGAATGCGATTTAATCTTCTTGGTTTCGCCCATAAATTTGAATTGGTCTGAGGAATCCGGAATGCGGAATAACAAATAAACGATAACCCCCGGCTAGGGTCCCCAGATCTACCAGACGGATCTGTCTCGGTTCTTAGGATCCGGACGGGATGATCTTGATTCAGCGTTCGTAGATGCACCGGGGTGCTAGACTGTAGGTACGGTAGGTACCTGTTCGGGAAAGGGAACAAGACTTTCCCATTTCCATTATCCAAGTTCCCACCGAGTTATTCAAATCCCTCATAAATACTCTGTCGTCTGGCTCTGCCTTAGCCATTCTCCTACGGTCGTGTAACTAATTTCGGCTCCTTTCCAGAATTTCGAATAATTCATGCCCGCCGAATTCGAGGCGAACGCCTTGTACGCTGTTTCCCAGAACAAGAAGACCGATAAATCGACCATGTGCCCTTTGGGTAATCGGATGTCGTGAACCTGGTCAATCCGAGGAAGAGATTGATCTACCGGGCGTCTTTGCTTTATTTTATTATTTCTTTATTTTCTTTTTATTATTTCTTCATTTCACTTAGCGTTTCCTGTTAACAGATATTCGATTTATCAGTTTTGCCAGGATGACTATCCCGCTTTTCCGCACTTTTGGAATACCCATACGACTTCGTCCCGTGAATATGGATAAAGTCATAAATATTTATGGAGATTATGCGAGCGTCGAAGATCTCGAGAAAACAGCGGCACTCTCGAATATGTCGCACACGGAAAGACGCCGAAGATCAAGAATTCTTTCTAGTTCTGAATAATGCAATCCCATCCGGTGGTTCGTGCCACTTGGATTTATTATTCTACCGTGAACTCAGCTGCACAATAGAGGGCAACACTTCGCGTAACTATGACGATGCGGGTGTGAAGCTTATAAAAAAAAAAAATCCTCAATATCCTCTCCTCCTGGGAACAATGAAAGCGAAGAAGGCAGAATGTCAGATTTATTAAGATACGTGTTAAAGGTCGGATCGTATGAAATAAGGAAGACATAATGATCTAACAGATTTTACAGGACGTGCGAACCTGTTTATGTCCCTGTAAAACCTCGGCCCTTCGATTCATAAATCCGTCCCTATATTCCGCTCACTGGGGGGGCTTGCGAATAAAATATGAAATTGCTATTCACCCTGACGCGAATATCAAGCACGGTCCTATGGCAACGATATACCACGGTACTAAATAACCTGGAAAATTCGGATTGCTCTGTGAACTCTATATCCCGATGCTTGAAATTGTAAATTCACTTAAAAAAAAATATATTTCCTACATTAATATATTCGTATAAACTTTTTAAACCAGAGTACGTTTAGCTGGGTTCGTTACGTATAAAAAAAAAGTCTCTGATTGAATCGATAATGTTGGTCTGATTAATATATGAGTGCCACTCTGTCAATTGAATTAATGTTTGCGTGCACCTCGGGATTGGTACTTTGCCAGCGTAATAGAGGAAATGGTGAACAGGGAGTTAACGGGGACTTTGGGTCTGCCTCATTCTTCTTGATGCAACGGTAATATTTAATTAGGGAATTTTGCACACCGCGCTACAATCGTATTATGTATGAGCTTGAGACGCATATCTTTAATAGGAAATACGACGAATTGACATAATATATGTATGCTTGTTGTAATAAGAAAAAAAAATTGAGATTCTGACGTATTTATTTCAGACACGTTTGCGAGCAAGGTGGCCGCCTGCCAGGACAAGTACGCGGACGCGAGCGTCGGAAACGTGACCGGCAGTAACGCAGTAAACGTCTTCCTAGGGATTGGCATTGCGTGGAGCATCGCTGCAATTTACCATGCCCGCAACGGTGATCCGTTCGTCGTCGAACCCGGCAAGTCAGTAAAAAATGTATTCACAAAATTCTATGAAGAATTCATCCACCGGGTTCACGGTTCGTTTAATTATCTTTTCATTGTTTTTCATCGCGCAAGTTCATCCAGCCGAAACCCTTCGTAACTACTTATAACAGAATCCACAGTTTGCTTATACAGTCTTGTATAGAAAGTTCAAATTTTTGCAATGAAATTTTGTGATCCACAAAAATGAGAAAAGACGTAACAGATAAATCATCGAAGACAAAAATTAATGTGTACAAGGATTTCTCAAATTTTTCTATCGTCATCAAATACGACGCGGTGCGTAGTTAACGTTAGAAATAAGATGTTGCTGGGTGGTAGATATCGATCCTCAAGGTAACTTGGAAAAAGTGCACCAGCTTGATCACAGATGGCAGTACCGGTTCTCACGATAGTTCAACATTATCCAACAGGATTTCACTGACGACACTTTAATGCTTCAAATTTTACCGAGAGTCAGTTTGTCCTCTTTGTATATCAGCCAGGGGTTTTACGGTAGTATCCAGAAAAAGGAACGTTTCCACGAGACGACAAGGGTCCCGAAGTGCGATACCGTAAGGGTCAACCTTAAAGGGAGTGGCAATAAATGATCCTCAAGAAAGTTAGATATATTCATTGAAGTATCATTTGATCCGCGCAGGAAATTCCGTTGGCGTAGGAAATATTTTTTTAACGTAATAACGCCAGCGTCTGGAAGGGCTGATCAAACTCACCCTAGTCTTAATCATTCCCCTCATACCGTGGTAATTTCATTTCAGCAGACAGGGGAAGAACGCCAGCCTCTTACAAGCACGTTCTCATGCTTCCTTCATTTTGCTAAAGGCGGACCCCGTGTTCTGTCTGTGCTAACAATTAATTCATTATTTGAGTCAATAATGGAACCATTGGAAAACGCATACAAAATTTCTATTCAATCGAGCACTCTATGTAACGAAGCTCAGCATTCGAAAAATCATACAGCGTCATGCTCAAATAAGCATAAACAGCTTGACGATGTAATCCTCACGTTGATGACGTAATAAAACACCAATAAATATTTCTGTTAAAAAATAACGGAAAATAGTCTGGCCTTCTCCGTGACGCTATTCTGCACGGAGGCGTGTCTGGTGATCGTGGTGCTGTTAGTCAGAAGAACGAAAAGCATCGGGGGTGAATTGGGCGGTCCGTTCGTCCCGAAAGTCGTCACTTCCGCGATACTCTTCTCCCTGTGGCTCTTCTACCTCGTCATGTCCACCCTTGAGGCCTACGGAGTCATCCAGGGCTTCTAAGAGCGATAACGCCGAGGAATGGCCTAATATATCCACCTGTACTTATCTTCTATATGCTCAAGGAAACGTTCTCTCGGTAAGTAGATAAAGCACGTCACCGTACAGCCATAAGGATATGTACTGATCCTACCTATTGACGTACGAACGACAGACGCATTTGCGCGAATCATCAATTGGATTAGGTAACGCGTATCGTTAGAAGTCTTCTGTATTCATGTTTCAGGACTTGCTCGTAGCTGCTGGATATCGAGAAAGTGAATTCGCAAAGGGGATGGACTCGCAATGCCGAAGCGACATAGCCAGGGATCGATATAACAACGAGAGTGCGTGAGTGCTGCGTTGTCTAGGTATAATTATTACCTGCGTAATAAAGAATGTATCTATTTGTGTGTACCAGTTAAGGGGACGCCGTGACGTATAAGAATGCGAGCAAATGGATGACATAGTGCGTGACTGGGAAGGAATAATTGCCTTAGGAGTCTTAATACTATAGTTAGTTGCTGATCGTTATACCGATTGGAATTTGAAGTATATCAAACGTATACATTGTAATAGATGAGCATGCCGAATGATCGCAGATGGAATTCATTTTAAATTGTTATAACGTGACAAAGTCAAGCAGACAGAATAGTCGTAAAATATTTTCTTAGGGAATAACGTGAATTCCTGTAATGCCGATATTAGTGCTATATGCGTCTATGAGATTTTTTATTTATAATTTTAATCGCAAGGATCGTACTTCTGAATTTTAGGGTGATACGAGGTGCTGCGAGGTGGTTGAGGGATGCGGTTGGTTATTTTCATTTATTAGGAAGATGATCGTGTCGATCGTTTGTTATTAGATAGAAAATGGCGCTATTTAAGCTCGTCAAGTATATTATGACAAAAACACACTGCTAGGTAATATCAAGTTCGGAGGAAGACAGGATTGAAATACATGAGAGAGAGAGAGAGAGAGAGAGAGAGAGAGAGAGAGAGAGAGAGAGAGAGAGAATAGAAAAATATAACGTAAAAGAAATATAATATTGTAAAATGACAGAGAGGATGGTACGTGTATATGATGAGCGCTTTACCAAATGTTTCCTCCGCTCTTTCCCTATCTCGTACGAGTTATCTAACTGCAGTTTCATAGGAACTTAGGTAGATAAACGGCTCAGCGAGCAATATTTTAAGAAGTCAATGTTGAAACTCGTTTTGGAGATATATTCAATATTGAATGATAAGGCGGTTGGTTGTTAAAGCGAAGTGAATATACTAGTAAGATAATTTTAAGGATGAGTGATTGGAATTCGCGAAATCCTTAAGGCGCAGCCTAAAGTAGCGAGCGTCGTTTAAACGTAAAGCTTTTGTTGTTCTTCACTGCCTTTGATCGGGGGTCGCTCATCCGGTCGCGCCTTGAAGTTCGCGATTATCAATATCCAGGTTCTGCAACGTATGTATATATATATATATATATATATATATATATATATCTATTAAATATATATATATAAAATCGCAGTAGCGCATATATATATATCTGTATATGAATACTCGTAGTGTAGATATTCAATCTATAGACTTTACGCATAAGATGAATATTCCCTGGCGATCGATCCACGGCTTTTAAAATCGTGATCCTTATTCATCTGTATTTAAAAGTTTTAGAGAAACTCGACGGTTCTACATTGTATATGAGATATTGACTAGTCCATGATATATTAACTGCTGAATGATCTAGTCAGTCTGTAGAGAGTTCCAAAGATAATCTGCCCCCCATGCATGTACCTATTTCCTCTCTCATTATTAACGGGTTTCTTATTAATTTTTTTTATCGCTGTTATCCTGGGGTAGAGATTTATGATACTAACCATGTACTTTTTGTTTCCTTTGGTATAAGGTATATATATATATATATATCCTGGATACATAGAATAGACGACGCGGTGTAGATTCTCCTTGTCTTTTGGATTATGGGCTCTTCTTTTGGCTGGCAAACGGAAGTCGTCGCACAGGCACAGAATCAGATTAGGTGATAACTCAAAGTTAGTGGATACTCCCTGGAAACTTATACGACTTGTTCTCCAGTCTAATTTCGGCCTTTTGAACGTGCGATAAATGTCAAATAAAGATGGCACATCTGAGAGTTTCCAATAAAGATATCGCATTATCCGGATGTTATCGCCATCGAATCTCATAACGGGAGCTTCCATGAGCTCGTGTAAACTGCAGGAAAAACAATCTCGTAAGGTAAATTTTGATGTCGTTCTCTTACACGACAAAGTGGATATTCCGCTATCGAATAAACAGCAGCCGGCTTGATTAAACGGCCAGTCGTTATGCCGGATAGCATGTAAATTCGTAACCTTAGTATCAGATCCAGAAAGTGGCATTTATTGTGTAAAGTATTCGTGAATAAACTACGTATAAAGAGTTTTGTGGCGTAGTTTGTAAAAAATAATACTTGAGGGAAGACTGTGGAGACTTGTCAGTCGAAACGTGGATCGTATATATTCTAAAGAGTAAAATGGTGGACGCTACGAATTCGTGAACTAGCATTCGGCTTTACGTATTCACGAATTTGAGCCACTGAAAAACGTGGAATGAATTTCGACAAATTTTACTTGCGTAACCCGGTCTTTGTCGTTGAGCTCGGGAGAGCCACGTTTCTCTTTATTTTTTTCGGGGATCATTCGTAATCCTATACTCGAGGGAATAGACAGTATCTCTTTTTCCTTCAGTGCGTTGTATCAGGTTTCGCGTGTTTACCTTTATTGTATGTACTTCTGCCGCTTTTCAAATCGTTATCGCGTAGAAATGGAAGTGCCGATAAGGAATTGCATTGGGTTTTTATATTGGTATTACATGGAGAACATATATACAGAATTGTAAGGTATTACTGTACGGAAATTAACACTAGATTTGCCAGACCAGTCATTTTGACTGGTCGTGCAATTTCAATTCAAAATTCCTACTAAATATATCATTCGATTTCAAAAATGATGTTATGACTTTTGTAGCTATAAGTAGAGAATACATTTTATAAACTTAATGTTATTTCATATACATTAGTAACAAATATAATTTTTGTTATTGACATTTATACCAGTACCAGTCAAAATGTATAAATAGATGGTAAATCTAGTGTTAAAGCAAACTAGGTTGTATTTGCGATCCCTCTTGATCATAGCAGTAGGTCAATCAAGATGGGTAAATAATTCGAATCCTCGCAGCATCTTTGATCGAGCTTTATAGGAATCGAATGATTTCTCGAAAAAAGAAAAATAATTGAACTCGTTTAACGCTTCGACTGATCCATAAGGTCTATTCGAGAATTTGTTTTTGGCAGGGGCCAACTTGTTATGATCTTCCGTGTAAGGCAGTCCCCCGGATCTCATACTTAGCTCACGAATCTACTGTACCATAAGAGCGACAGTTTGTTTAACCCAGAAATGTCTAAATTTTTTCATTTGCATAAATCATCCGCTGTGTTCATCGGATAGAATATTTGCAAAAGGAAGAATAATGTCTAGGCTGAAACTTTCTTTTACATTTCCTTTTCACCTTTATAGTCTTTTTCATTCTTCACATTAATTATACCCTGTGAAGTCTTGTAGTCATGCAAACTGACGACGTTTGCACTGTGAGAATATCGGCACTGTAGAAATCCAATGGATTTCACTAAAGGAGAATCTAATCGTGCGTATATCTTAAACGTAACGAGCATGTTCTAGAATTTGATATTAAAGATAAAAAGAAATATAAAAGATATTGAAATTAGCTTGAACGCGAATCCAGCCAAAGATTATTATTTTATTAAATGATGAATTTTCAATGTGGGACTACTCATCGATGCGTAGACACTCAACAGCGAAGCATTAACGTGATAATACTTAATTGAGATTTCGCTATTATTCCAGATTCCACTGTACGCCAAGCGTCAAGGCCGCTCGTTGCTTCTATTCGTCCCTACGAAATATATATGTATTCACCAAAAAATACCAAAGTATTACCAAAAAAAAAAAAAGCAAATCGGGTGTTTCCATTGTTAAAAAAAAAATATCTCCTAAGGCAAACACATTTAAATGCAAATGTCTAATGAAAAATTGCAGTATTCGCGAGCAGTGGCAGCGAGTGCGTCTTATTGGATTACCGGAAATTATGCGATCACTAAAAATCATGCATTTATTAATTAATCCTATCGAATCTCGCGTAATCTCTGCAATTTACTATAATCCGGGCATAAATTAAGCCGGATTGATCGACGTTTCTAGTCAGCCTGCCATAGCGTATAATGGCCGCGTTAAAAATATACATATATATATTCGAATTAAAAAGCGCATTCGCACCTAGACGTGTCTCTCCATTTTATAAAATGGAAATCGATCGATTGGTGCAAGGTGCTTGAGTATTTTGTCGCGGATAGATAAATGAAAATTTTAGAGAAATATATATATATATATAAAGAGGTATACATATATAAATATCAAAATATTATATTCTGGCGTATAAGATAACATTGTAGATAGAATGAAGGAAGTGTAGATAAGTGAACGTAGGTAATAGGTAGTAGATAACACACTCTCGACCTTCCTCATAGGGTTACTTATGTACCTACATGCATACATACGTTATACATAAACAAAAAACATATATTGTTTCTTCTCCCGTGCTCGCTTCGTCTTGATGTCGTAGAAAATGTAGAATAGAGGAAATATGGGTGCACGCGGGCCCGAAATGCTTCGCGACGAACAGGGCTGAGCCTTTTAATCCCTAATGAATAATACAATTTATCGATTAACTTATTACATCTATTTACCGAAGTCGATCGGATTGTTTTAACGTGGCCAGCCGTGATGCGCGATCAAATTAACGAATTTATCGTAGATTGACACTGCGGTGAGTAGATATATATTTTATAAAGGACCAAATAAACCCGTCGATTGCTCGTAAGAATACGACCCTTAACCTTGCATAGCGAAGAATATTTTGAAAATGAAAAATGAAAGAATCCTTTAACAAATCATATCCTTGTTTCCTGTAAATTTTGCATTCCATATCGAACACCATTTTGACTGCAGGAAATCTTTTCATAGCTTTCGTGTCTCGTATGATTTTTGTTATCATCGGTCCACTGTAACTTCTTATGTCATATTAAATATAAGTATGATGATTATCGATAACGCATAAAAAATTGTACTTCACTTTTTGTCGAACTTTTAAGTAGTAAAACTACAGAGTAACAACAGAGACTTTCGTAAATTTTATGTCACCTACAGCGAATACAATTTATCAGCATTTCGAAAATACGTGGACTTACGACCAATCGATATCAAAATATCAATAAGAATTTTCCAGTTTCACACTTTTCCTTATTAACGTCTTAGCATTTATCATAGACAATTCTTATATCCTTCCTGTACGATCATAGACAAATTTTTCGAAATAGATCAGCACAGCAGAAAAAAAAGAAACGACCAATTTTTAGAGGGAGAGAAAAAGAAAAAGAGAGAGTGAAAGGAGGGGGGGGGAGAAAGTACTTTCAATTCGGACCAAATGGAATTCGCTGTATCAGCCAGTATAGTGTGCGTGAATTTCGTTGAAGTTACGAGATAAGGTTTAAATTTAAAAATCATCAGGATTCGCGCCATTCTACTTACTAATATTCTTATTCTTCTTCTCATTCACGTTCTTTCCGTGATACAAAGGTAACATGAGAAAATAGGCGATCGTGAGACGTAAAGCGACACTTTCGTTTCGATCGTTCACGCACAAAACGGGATGTGACTGATGAGTGAGAATCGATGAAAGTTATCTTTGACGTTTTTCGTGCAATTATTATATAGCTGTAGATATTAATAGAAGCTTAGAATTTTCATTTTTTTCATTTAATTCAAATTACATGTGCGTTCTCATCGAATCTTACTCACATCGAACAGTCCCGTCTTTCGAAAAATACCATATGTCCACGGCCGGCCACAAATTTTTGTATATATATATACATATGATATATTAAATGATAAAAAAAGAAAAATGAAATTAAATCTCAAACGTTTCTATTCACTTTACGAAAATCCTCTATTATACACTATACTTAAATACTCTTGACTATGAATCTTCGAAGCTATCCTCTTACTGGGCTCTTTACATTGTAATTGTACTTTGAAAAAGGACACTTCGTGTTCCAAGGCTATATCTTTCGATTCTACATACATAACTACATATACCCTGATTATAGCAGATTAATCAAAGGAAATCGAATCTTGGGAAACGAAAACATAATGCGAGTGACAACGGGATTATAATTACAAATGTCAAAGTTGTAATAGCGTCGAGGGACATTTTAAGATGGTAGATACTGTAAGATAATCGTGACTAAGCCAGAAAAGCAAAAGGTAATCATATAAACGAATAGTTAGATATAAAGTGGCGTATAGAAAGGATAAAATTGATAAAATTGAAGGAACGAAAGCGAAAGGATATGAGAAATGGTGTTTAAGTAAACAGAAGGATGGAACGTGAAAAGCACATTAAGCCTGAGTTACATGCCATTCGATAGAAAAATATGTCCAAGGAATCACATTGTTCCTCTTGTTGTTGAACGAAATGTATTTGCTTTTGCAGCGACCTCACATATAATTCATATATGTAGTACTGAAATTATTGTATCCACGTACGAACTTATTTCCTACACCTGGTCAGCCGATCGTTACCAATGTTATTGCGGCATGCATAATATATTTTTCGTGTAAATAAAGTAATTGATTTTTATTATAAATTATAACGTTAATTGCCACGCGGCTTTATCATTATTTTTCAATTCTCCGCCTTGTCATCACGCTGAGAAATGATTGTTCCTTTGATCGATCACTGCTATTCACTTCTTAATCACCTTTAAGATCAGTTGATTAAAATTGTTCACGACTTTTAAGCGACTCGTCGATATTGATAGAATTTTGCTTCTTTTTGTTAAAAAATTATTGTACAGTTTGCAGTACCTTTTTTTTTTAATATGCGTAAGTGGTGGTTGTAGTGGTTGCGCGATTTTGTTTTTCAACATCGCCGTCGATGTTGAGTCCAAAAACTCATTGTAGGAATTTATCTGAAAAATCAATAAAATGAGGAAGTTTCCAAAATATATTTCTCAATGAATAATAGTGGTCCTGAATCTGTTTAAATGGTGCCACCACTGTAGAGAGGCGGAGAGAGGGGGTTAATAGTGGATTTTTGGTAATATTATTTTTCGAACATTATTTCAACATCTCTAAAGCTTTGAACTTTTTAACTCTACATTTCCTTGTCATTCTTTCCTTCATTCTCCTTCGCGTATTCCCTATTTTTTTCTGACTCTGTACAAAAAGTATTACTTCGCACGTTACCTTTACGTTTTTCAGGATACATGCATCATACAACGAATTGAGATTTACGTTAAATTTTCTTTGTACAATATTCAAGATATGTAAAATAGTGGGAGAACGTGATGAAATCATCGTTAGAATTCTCGTAAAGCGATACAATCGAAATTTTCGTTTAATTCGACATATGCCTTCTAAAGTTTGTTGTTTCATTTAAAAAACCAAATAATTAAATATATCGTTACTATTGTATCTACAATCACTGCTGGGGTCAGTTATTACAGCAATGATAATAATTGCGTTGATCGTTACTGATCAGAAAATTGGAATTAAAAAAAAATGAATATTTCGATCGTATCGCTTAACTCTAGCAAAATAAGAGAATCTTATCTTCCGTCTTCGATGTATAATTCCTGTTGTACAGAAAACTTTGGACAAAACGTCCGTGTAAAATCCGTTAAAGTTAAACGTTTGCGCCTATTCTTATTATTGTCGATTTTCCGCCCGCTATTTTGCGTCACGATCACGAAAAAAAAAGGCACTGTCCATGGCTCGCGAATGACGAGTCGTAGAGATAGAAAAAAGAAATTAAGTAACGAATAACTTTAAAAAGGCGAACTGCGTAAAATGGCGAGGTTGAAAACGAACGTGTTAATTGTTGATGTATCGTCGCGTCGAGAGCTCTTGTAACTATAGGTACATTACATATACCTTGAAGGAGGAATTGAATGTTGAGAATTATTTCCTATCTGTAAAATCGAATCTGATATTTGCGATCGAATTCTTTTCAAACGATAAGAGATTATATCCAATTACAATAGTATCGTAAAGTCCTTCGTAGCATTACGATTCTCCGATGGAACAATTATGAAATAAATATATTAAAGAAATTTTAGTAATTTAAAAATATATAACATCGAACCTCGGTTTGCCAGATAGGAATGAATCAAGATCGAATAAGAATCAATTAATTGTAATTGAATCGAAAGTGCAAAATATACATACATTAAATGTTGTTTACACCGTAAATATGATCGACCGTCCCGCAAAGTATATTAATTATCTCAACCGTCTCACTGTACTGTATTAAATCAAGTGTCTGCCCACCAATCGAATCCTAGTATCCCAAACCCAAGGACTCACTTTAATAATTTCATTTGCCATAAGCTGCCGGGAAGTTTGATGAGAGGATAAAGGGCATCGCCGGCAGGCAATAGTTAGTTTATTACGTATTATCCTTCGTTACGTCTCTCCTGTCCTTCATGTTTCGTTTTAAGCCAGGATCAACCTTGTAGATTCATCAAAATGTGCTACGTCACTGGGTCCTTGCCGAGGTTAAAAGTTTCCCCCAATTTTTCCATATCAAAACCGGAAGTAGGAACTTCTTTTGCTCCTTTGTTATTTCCAAAAACCAGTCACCTTACTTCCCAAGGAACTAGGAACGCTGGGTAATGGTAATTACAAACCTTGATAATCGAAATGCCGTATTTTACCATAACGAATTACAGGGTTACGTTAATGACGTAATACCCGTCAAGTAAATTAATTCCCTCTGCCAGACTTTAGACCAGCGTTTCGTTTATTTTATTAATTATTTATTGCCAGATGTGTGTCTAAGCACGGATCACTCTTACTTTATAATACGTTATACGACAATATTTAATATCATGTATTAAGATCGTGTGATAATTGAATTAGCTATTTGATTAATCGGTACTGAGTAACTGTTAATCATGAAATATGAAAAATTCCATTCCAATACATCGCTTTTAATAGGATCAACTGGCAAGATCACAATTTCAAAGTAAAGAGATAGCATGGTAAATAGTCACGATCGAAAGTAATGAAATTTTAATGTCGACTAGTCGTATCGTCAAAGTTAATCATCACGTAACCCAGTGATGAATAGAACTCATCTGTTATGAAATCGATTAAAAATACCTATATATGTGCGATGATAGCTGGGCGTTCGTGACTGAATTTAATTCTGGAAATATTCTTCTGTACTATTTAGGTATGACGTAAAACATGGACTAATTTCTGATAAATTCGCTGTTATAAAACAATAATAATAATATGCACGCATGTCTTTGTTCATAAAAAAGTTGTCTATGAACTAAACTAATGCAGTTAAAATTTCTATAAAATGTCTTAATATAGATTTAAAAGAGGTAATGGACATTTATAGACTCTTAGCATTTCCGGTTTTAAGATTCATTTTTTTTTTGTACATTTTTTTTTTAATCGGTCTTTTATATCAGTCTAATCGTATACGATAAAGTACGTGGTAATATCTAATCTCCGATCAATCAAGCTTATACCTCCAGCGCTGTCGTGGAGTTTAGTAATTCATCTATGAATGGTGACAATGGCATAATCAGATACGTCGAGAAAAGTATATCCGTACACTCATTGAAACAAAATTAATTACTATTAACTTATCTTATCGCGTTATCGACAAGATCGCCATAAGGCTGAAAACTGTGGCACTGGGTCGTGAGTTCGAAGATGCTTTATTAAGTCAATTTATTATTGTAATCATTTGTCATGCATGCGGATAGACCGTGCAGTCTCGTGTCACTGTGTCAATAAGTCAATGCAGATATTCCGCAATCACAACATTGGACTTCAATAATGGACAACGAAGGCAATGCTGTAGTGAAATTAAAAAAAAATTAATAATTAATTTTCATTAATTTTTTTAACAAAATTTTTCCGTCAATCAAGGCTAATCCAGTTTAATGCAAATATCGGTTTTCCCAATGTAACTTCCTACATAGGCACGCATACACGTAGTTGCGAAAGGCAAAAAACCCTCGGCTAATTCTGACAAATTAACGCCTCGTTAAATCCCATATTGGATGAACCGTGTAAAAGCAATCTCTTCAGAGCAGATTAGCTGTATGTTTCGGTTAAAGCCTTTTTTTTATAATAAAATATTTATTCTTGCAACGCACGACGCGATAGATATCCCTAAAGCTAATTAATCCGCAATGCCAACAGGATACTGCAATTTTCAATTATTTAGATAGTTATTAACGAGATATACGTATACGATAGTTATACGGGTACTTTGACAAAGACACTAAAAGCTTCCCAGAGGACATTGCGGTAATTAAATAGCAATTTGCGACTGTACACCAGATAAAGCACTCTGGAAGAGTATTGTGTGCAGAGGCTAATGGCGTCAATGGGTTATCAATAAATGTATAAATTACAATGTAGATACCCGGCTATTCTTTATATTTTTTCTCACGAAGCAGTAAGCTCAATCCAAATACGTAAACCATTGTACGAACCGTGCGGTATTATTTTTAATCTCGCAAACGGCCCGACATACCTTGGCACTTAGGTACCTTGAAAATATAAGATTCGGGAAAAAATTCAAATTTCTCCGCAGTCTTGAGTTTCAGCACGGATCGTTAACGTGTCGAACGACGTATTCGTCGTTTATAAAGTAATACGTGGTTTGACTCTGTAGAAAAAATCGATATTAAAACAAGAATTAGCCCCTTAATATCGTTCAACGTATATTACAGGTTAATTATATTATTTGTGATTATAATGCAAAAGCTCAGTTTGTGATACGACTTGAGGGTACGTCAAGTTTTTTGTTTTTTTTTCAAAATTTCTTTTCACGTCAACCACTGTATATTTGTATCAGCAGTCTGTTTTTCGTAATCTGGTTACGTTTGGATGCACACATTTTTTAATTATTTAGCGACTTTTCGACCGGTATACGAATGTAGGAAAAAAATTCAAATAATAGCATCGCGCAAGATATCTGACAGCTGAGGTCCGGTCGGTATCAAAATCTATTGAGACAGTTCAGGAATGATGCCAGGATCCAAAATGCTAAGGAATTTCACCGTTGGCACTCGTCTCGAATGGCTGCAGCTAGTTGGCTGCTCCGTGCTTTAGAGATACCTGCAGTGATTCTAGTGTCGCGAGTTACACGGTCAAAATTCCCCAAAAAAGATGTCCGTGCGGTAATAATACTAAAAATAAAAGTGGTCTTTCCAATACGTATCCTACCTGTCACGGCGTAAACATTAACAGTGTGCTATACCTAGAAGATATTTTTCTCCTCTGCATACCAGAAGACAATTTCTTGGCTACCATCCGAGAACGAATTGTTCGAGTTTTTAGATGAACATTTTTTCGTTAGTCTCATTGCTACAGCATTCCCATCGTACCACAAATCACAACAGTGTACAAGGTGTTTAATTATTCCAATAACTGACCCAGAAGAATATAAAATCTTATGAGAAGATTGTGACTGCATTAAAATTTGAATAACCCTTTATGAAAATTGCATTGTAGTATCATTCGCGATATATTCTTATTGTAATATCAAACGTTAGGAATCCACTGTGACTATCTTAGAGATCCAACCAGGTTGAGAACTTTTAAGGAGTTCAGTGTCGTTGGATAACCCGGTTCGAGCGATTGGGTTATCGCGATTTCGGCGATAAAGCCAAATGATATCGCAACTTGGAAAATCTATAAAAAGGGTTTAACCAATTTCGTACAGCACTTAGTGTCAGCATGCTGTCGGTGAGGAGTATTTTACTGCTCCTAGGGACCTTCGTCCTCTTGTCAGGAAAAGGATCCAATGCTGACCTCGAGAACAAGGAATGGTGGGAAAACACCATCGTCTATCAGATTTGGCTAAGGGGCTTTCAAGATAGCGATGGGGACGGCGAGGGAGACATTCGTGGTGCGTATTTTCCCATTCAGCTTGATTACAGTGTTATCTTTTGAAATAATGAGTACAGTGGAGAAGTGCTTGGGAAAGAGATATAAATACTTATTTTTTATTTTTATTTTACCTAAGAATCTGGCTTTTCATCCTTTCATGTTGTAGAAAACAGTGATAGGTCTTTGCCGTATTATAAAGTTTAGGCATCTGTTCCATGAATATTTATACATATGTAAATATACGTATTTGTATACCGGAAGTTAATCGCGACGGAATTAGTCAATTTCATTTTACTATGTATCTGAGTTATCGCAATGCTAATATACCTTGTAGTGTTTGTAATCACTTGTTCGTAGTTTTCAAAATAATCTGTAATTACATATTATCAGATTATCTATTCCTATCATCTCCGATAAGAGTATATGATTTCAAACTCAATTTTCTAATTATCCGGTAATTCCCACAGTGATTGATGCACCGGTTGTTATTTATCTATGACTATTGATATCTGCAAATACACGGAATTAGAGTAACAAACAATTTGTTACGTCATTTTACTTATTACAACATGAAAAATTAAATAGCTATTTTTTATTATCAGCTCTATCGATACTAAGCGTCTTATCAGTCATAAAAAATTATAGTTATCAAATCGCTATCGATCACCGGGTATGCACTGACTGTTGTAGTCCAGCTTTTCATGTTGAATTAAAGCTATCCTTTTACACGATCATAATAGGTATTTCAGTTTAAAGTGACTGGGGAGTTCAAACAATTAATTTGAAGTTACAATCACGAAAATCGTAAATTACACGGAATTGATGCGTTATCTTTAACGTGCTGGAGCGCACGCAGATTTCCGTAAATTCTACAATTAGGCAAATGGCACTTCCCTAAGGAATAATTGGGAAATAAAGAAATCGGATGGATGCAAAAATTTAGCACGAGTATATTTTGTATAAAAAAATTGCATACAACTCACCTTCATTTGTTAATTATTTCGCATAAAAGGATCACGCATGTCAGCATGCATTGTGTTTGCATGAGAATTTATTATAAAATTCTTATAAAGTACTTTATTCCATTTTCAAATTAAAAGGTGCTCCCAAGTTCCCTTAATTATTTAATTATTCCGTAACGTTCTTCGATATTTTTAAATCCAAAATGTATAAACGAAATATATTTCCATTTGACTTCAAAAATCCGTACTGTAATTCTATCGAAAACTCGTTCGATACCCGTATACGAAATATCATGCATTTGATTAGGGATGCTAAATTTACATTTATATTTAATCTGTAAGCAGTTCCATATCGATGCCATTTAATACATACGAGTAATTCAGTTCGTATTACAGATCCAAGCAAAATCTCCACGGTTTACATTATAAATAGCACTGTATCATATTTCGCTTATAATAACACTCGTAATTTCAAAGCCGTTCTAATTCTACGTGCAATAATGGATTATATATCCATTAACCTATAATTTATTTAGTAAGCGTTGCGGTAACGCTTTACCAATATGGTCTTTGAAATGCTAATTATCATTACTGAAACCCCGTGCTAAATCTAGTAAACGCGATTAATTTTAACGTGCCATTAAATACCAATCAATCTCTGTATATATTTTTTAAGATAATAATAGATGTTGATACTAGAGATGAAACCAGATGTTATCAAAAGAAAATATCTAATTCCCTTCACTCTTGAATGACATTTTAAAAGTTTTGGGCCGCGTATTTAACAAGGGTACTGACAATAGAGCGGATTTGGGACCCGTGGATTAGTTAATTATGGAATTGGCAGAGAATTCAGGTACTGATTAGATTGGGGCAGTGGCACGACCTTGATAGACGACAGTGTCATCCTGATATCTCATTTTCATCTTAGGATCAGAAAAATTTTTCAAAATTGTAATTGTATCTAATAGTAAGACGTTATGAAGTATATAGTATGCTCAATGATATAATACAATTAGAAAAGATAACGAATCAGCAAATTTTTAAACATTTAAGTTGCAGTGTGCTTGTGTTATCTCTGATTAAAATCACTAGCTGGATTAGATTGATAACGAATTAGATATCCATTATGAATGTGTTACAAGTTTCTATTATATGCTATGTATTACACGTGGACTTGAATAAAAATATAATACAATTAGAAAAGATAACGAATCAGCATATTTTTGAACACTTAAGTTACAGTGTGCTTGTATTATCTCTGATTAAAATGACTAGCTGGATTAGATTAATAACAAATTAGATATCCATTATGAATGTGTTACAAGTTTCTATTATATGCTATGTATTACACGTGGACTTGAATAAAAATATAATACAATTAGAAAAGATAACGAATCAGCATATTTTTGAACACTTAAGTTACAGTGTGCTTGTATTATCTCTGATTAAAATGACTAGCTGGATTAGATTAATAACAAATTAGATATCCATTATGAATGTGTTACAAGTTTCTATTATATGCTATGTATTACACGTGGTCTTGAAAAAAATGATTTACTTCGAAATTTTTGAAACATAAAGGTCAATACTGGGATTAAAAATCGATTCCTTTTCTTTTCATTTCGACATTTCAATTTTGAATCAATCCATGATTGATTTTTGTTACTTTTCCAGCGAGATGTACAATATGGATTATGGATAAAATATAATCATTCGTTATTATTTGAATCCAGGTATAATTAATCGTCTCGATCACTTGGAACAGCTGGGACTGGAAACGATCTGGCTGAGTCCTATCTACACGTCCCCATTAATTGACTCTGGTTATGATGTTTCTGATTATGTAAATATCAATCCACTTTTTGGAACTCTCGATGATTTCAATGAGCTCGTTGAAAAAGCTCATGATAAAGGTAATATTTGAAACTCGGATAAATATGTCAAATTCGAAATGTAATTCTACTATTTTAATTTATCAATCTCATTATAGATCTCAAAGTAATGCTGGATGTCGTACCTAATCACTCCAGTGATGAACATTATTGGTTCAATGCTTCTGTACACAGTGTTGAGCCATACACTAGTTATTATACCTGGGCCAATGGGACTGTGGTAAATGGCACAAATGTTCCACCAAATAATTGGGTATGACATTCTTTTTCATTCAAAAATATATATTTATTTATATTATAAATTACACCATTTTGAATTATCTCAGTATTATAAATTATACATTAATAAAATACTTTTTATTGAAATTCTAGGATTAGACATTCATCTTGAGTTCAAATTTTCAATTACTATTGTAGATAAGCACTTACAGTACCGAAGCTGGATCAGCATGGACTTGGAACGAAATAAGACAACAATGGTATTACCACAAATTCCATAGATCACAACCAGACCTCAACCTACGAAATGCTGCGGTTGTCCAAGAACTTTTGGTAAGAAAAATGTTGATCAGTCTTTGAAAATCTATGCTACTCAGTAGGAAATGATTAAACAGGATAAAAAAAATATGCCATCAATTACAGAATATACTCACCTTCTGGCTGGAAAGGGATGTCGACGGTTTCCACTTCAGTTCGGCGTCCTACCTTTTTGAAAATGAAGAACTTTTGGATGAACCAACCGCCGGATGTGGGTCTCACACTTCCGGTCTTCCTGAGAATTCCGGGCTTCTGTATGAAATTCATGCTCATATTGCTGATTGGATAACAAGTAGCAATTCCACATCAAAGTATGTTCGACATTATTTATTTGACAATAATAATACTAGTTAGATTCATCATAATAATTAATTATCAATTTATAATTTTTATTATTGTGAAGATTGCTCATCGCTGGATCTGACGATGACGATAACACTTTAATATCTTACTATGGAAACGACACTCATACTGGAATCTCTCCATTTAACTATCGATTAATAAAAGACATAAGCGCAAATACGAATGCCAGTACGTTAAAAGCAGTAATTGAAGAATGGCTAGAGTTATTACCAGCCAATCACAGTACAAACTGGGTGGTAAGAAAAAAAATTACAAATTTATATTGAATTCAACACAAAATGCTTGAACTGTTTTTTTAACCTAATACTTGTTAAAAGCTCGTATGCTCAAAAGCTTACGGTTGTTATCGGACTAAACGAACCAATTACTATTTTTATTTCAGCTATCAAATCACGACCATTCACGCGTGCCATCTAGAATTAGTTTGAACCATGTCGATGGTCTCCATATACTCAGTTTTTTGTTACCTGGACAAACTTTCACCTATTACGGTGAAGAAATTGGAATGCTGGATACCACAATTAGTTGGAATCAAACTATTGATCCTTTAGCTTGCGCTCAGACTCAGGATACTTATACAACTTACTCTAGAGATCCAGCCAGGACACCCATGCAATGGGACACCACGACTTCCGCTGGTTTTTCAACTAACAATTCAACCTACCTCCCAGTCAATTCAAACTACTTAACTAGGAATGTTGAAACACAATTAAACCACGATCTGGCCAACATTCAAACCTTCAAAGCACTCGCGTCTCTTAAAAAAAAAGCAACCATCACTCATGGGGATTATGAAATCTCTGCAGTAAACAATGACCGGGTTCTGGTTTTGAAAAGGCGTGTATCGATTTTCATTAAAATATAAGAAATCAATTTATAATTTTATATCTAAATTAAACTACGATTTGATAATCATTCACAGGTCTCTTGAGGGTTATTCGACTTACGTAGCCGTCATCAATTTAGGCCTGGCACGACAAACTGTTAATCTTACAGAATTATATTCCGATGTGCCGGAGTATCTCTATATAGCAGTTGCATCTAATAATGCTGTTACTAATTCGTGAGTAAAATCGTATGGAATTTATACATATAACATATATGTATGATAAGTACTAATTATTCAATTGTTTATTAGCACGATGATCTCTGTTGACACCGTCATTCTCACGGCAAATGCTGCTCTGGTACTGACTGATGAAGAACCTGAAAACACGACGGAGCCTTCGACAGCAAGTACGATCTCGAGAATGATAGTAGTCGCTTTATTAAGTAGTACAATAAACATATGTCTCATAAAGTAGTAACGAGCTTGTAAATCCAAGGCTTCGTAGATATTTAATTTCCTGCTATTAAAGTAGCAAATGTTATTGGTAAACTGCTGCTTAACATTCCTTAGCAAATTTTGTAATAAGTAACGTAGATGTAATAATAATCCTATTTGTAATTGTAATGACTCCTAAAGGACAGTTCCTTTCAAAAAGGGACACAAAAGACATCAAACAATTCTCGACTCTAATCAAATGCCAATTCATCAACACCAAAACATTAAGAAAGTTGTTGCTAAGAAACAAAGTTTTGAATATTAGCACCGTTTTGAACATTAGCACTGTAACTATATGAAATCTTCATACAGAAAATTAGCGAAAAGAGAATTTTATTTGATATGGAATATGAAAAATAGTTATTATAAAAGTTTGAAGATTCGATCAAAAGTATTATTTGTTTTACTATACAAAAGTCATCAGTTACTTGATGTCGTGACTCATCAAGCACATCCAAGTAATTTCATTATTTAAATTCCCACATCATAATATCGTACGTGGCATTAATAATTTAAAAATATTAATTTTTATTAAAGAGCATGATGAACTTCAACATTATGCTATGTAGTTTGTAATCCAGGTGTCATACTTAATAGCAAAATTCCCATAGTTAGAAATCATTCATTGTGCTTTTGTTGTCCAATCGCTTTACAGCTACTGATGAATCCACATCAAGCACATCCACAACAGAAGAATTGACCACGATATCCAATGATGAAAGTACCACTGAAAATCAAACAACTGAATATGAGGGAACAACAATAGAAAGCTCAGAGACAACAACAATAGAAAGCGCAGAGACAACGACAATAGAAAGCACAGGTACAACAACAACTGACGCAGAAACTTCGACTCCTAGCACAGGAGGATCATCGAAAAATTTTAAAAGCACAGTAGTAGTATTAGTGGCTATGAGCATCTGCTTGGTTGTCATAACTTTGTAAAATAGTTCATAGACACTCCCATGCAGTAAGAATTTATGAAATAAGTGTTCAATCACTTTTCGTAAGTATATTTCTCAAAATCCTTAGTGTAAATTGAAAACATAAATGCTTTTTATAAAATTGGCTGGTTAAGTAGTTAAGTGTGACGTAGTAGATGTGTAAGTTATACTTTGTGATTTAGCGTATGTAATATAGAATATATATTTTTGCTTAATATCACTAGTACAAATTTTATCAAATGATGCCACATCCTCACTTGAGAAAACTCAATTTCTACAGCTCCTGACATTGACCTCGATAATCAAGTTATTGAGGGCAATCTTGATTGGTGGCAGTCAGCTGTCATCTATCAAATTTATCCAAAATCATTTCAGGTAAGGATACTTAACAATGATTCATATATTTTCTTGTAACATTTTAGATTAAAAATCAAAAATATGTTTTCAAATAAGGAGGTTCGTTAACTTCTTCGAGCAAGGGTGGCGGGAAATAGATTCTTACTATGTGGAACATTTGTTTGACATTTTTCGGATAAATTGATAGGATGTCGCTAGAATGTTTCGTGATGTACAAAGAAATTAACGGACACTTAGTTTTCTTCGTTGAATCACAATTTTTAATTACAACTGATAATCGGAGCAAAAAGCAGTTTTTGATTTTTTATATGGAACGTCTACGCATATAAAATACCATCTGAATCCATTCAATTGTCTACCTTCTCAAAACGACTACAGACAAACTTCCCGAAATTTGATTACAACACAGTTGCACTTTCGAAGAATGATCTCATCCTCGATTATACACTTTACTATAGTTGTATTAAATCTTTGATTTTAAGTGAAACTTCATTTCATTACGCGTGACCAATTGCTATTGACGCAGTTATAGAAAAAATGAACTTAGTTTGACTTATCTCTAGATATGACAAAATTAATCCTACAATTCAGGAGAGATTAGATTACGTATAGCCCAATCTCACATTATTCACTAAAATGATTTCACCCTATTATTTCCTGTTAGATAAGAATCCCATGTATTTCAGGACTCCAATAACGATGGCACAGGAGATTTACCAGGTATCATTTCACGCCTTGATCATTTGATTGATCTGGGTGTCACTGGTTTTTGGTTGGGTTCCATATACACGTCACCTCAAAAAGATGGTGGCTATGACATTTCTAACTTTACTGACATAGATCCATTATTTGGTACCATCAGAGATTTCGAAAAACTCATTGAACAAGCACATGACAAGGGTATAATAAATTTTTTAGAACGTGGACCTCTTTGTTTAGTCCATTAATTTACTCAACTAGCATACGTGTTACCTAATTGGAATTTCTATTTTCACCAGGGTTAAAGGTCATTATGGATTTAGTTCCAAACCACTCTAGTGATGAACACCCATGGTTCATAAATTCAATATCACGTATTGAACCGTATACTGACTATTACGTTTGGGCGGATGGATTGGATGGATCTGATGGAAGTGCACCACCTACCAATTGGCTGAGCGTGTTCGGTGGTTCAGCTTGGACTTGGAACGAGGAGAGACAACAGTATTATTATCATCAATTTGACTCCAGGCAGCCTGACTTAAACTTCAGAAATCCTAAAGTGGTACAGGAAATCAATGATATTATCACATTCTGGCTGGAGAAAGGAGTTGATGGTTTCCGCATGAATGCGATTTCTCACATTTTCGAAGATCCCGATTTATTCGATGAACCCATTAATCCAAATCCTCCAGAAAATACGAATGAAACGGATTATGAATTTCTGCTGCACACCTATACAAAAGATCAAATCGAGACTTATGAATTAGTCTATAGTTGGAGAACACTGCTGGATAGTTACGCAGCAAGGACTGATAATGTCACAAGACTTCAGATTGTAGAATCTTCTTCTACCTTGGACAAAGTTATTCCGTAAGTCATGATTTTCGCATATCAAAGTCTCATATGATCCTATTAACAAATCTTGTATATTAAATCCGTATCCATCCTTTCACTAGGTACCAAGGAAATGGAACCCACAAAGGTGCTCATTTGTCCTTCAACTTCGGTCTCATATTGAACGTCACGCAGGCTTCAGGAGCATCCGTATTCATCAACGAGATAACTTCGTGGTTGAACTCTATACCACGAAATAGTACTGCTAATTGGGTGCTTGGGAATCATGATCAGAGCCGAGTTGCCTCCCGTTTTGGTATTAATCGTGCTGATGGTTTAAACATGCTCTCTCTTTTACTACCTGGAGTAGCGTTCACTTATTATGGCGAGGAGATTGCTATGCTGGACACATGGATATCTTTTGAAGACACTCAAGATCCACATGGTATCAACGCTGGACCAGATCGTTATGAGCTGTTCTCCAGAGATCCAGCCAGAACACCATTTCAGTGGGACAACACCACGTCAGCTGGATTTTCTGGCAATGAAACTACATGGTTGCCAGTCAATAGCAATTATCTGATTAGAAATCTTGCGTTACAAGCCTCAAGAGAAAGAAGTGTTTATAAGACTTATAAAGCCATTGTCAAATTGAAACAGACTGAAACCATCAGGAGAGGTTCGACAAGACTGTTATCTCTCTCTGATGATAACGTGAGTGACTATTCGCAGTGCAAATATTTTGCAACATAATCTTATTAAACTTTACTTTTAATTTCACGTTGATACACTTTTAGGTACTGACCTTCATACGAGAACTTCATGATGAGGATACTTACGTGATTGTTATCAATCTGAGTCCTTATTCTAAAACTGTCGACCTATCTGCATTCGATGACCTACCCTCAAAAATCACAGTCTGTTTAGCAAGTGCTAACGCAATTGGAAGTACTGGGTAAGATTAATTGCATTTTTAAGAAGATTTAAAAACATTTATGAATGATATACTGATAGTGTCCTTATACAGTACATATGATGTTTTGAATATGTTCTTAATTGTAGAGACACCGTCAATATCGATTCCGTTAGTCTTTCTGCTAACGCTGCTCTGGTACTTTGTACAACGGATTTCCCAGATACTGCAAATGAAGAAATTAACGGCGATCTCGACTGGTGGCAGACGGCCGCCATTTATCAGATTTATCCCAAGTCATTCAAAGACAGTAATGGCGACGGCGTTGGTGATATTCAGGGTATCATCTCGCAGCTTAATTATTTTAAAGATATTGACATTGACGCAATATGGCTTGGTCCAATTTATACTTCACCGCAAAAGGATGGCGGATATGATATTAGTAATTATCTCGATATCGATCCCCTGTTTGGATCTACAGAAGAATTTGAAACGCTCTTGGATTCAGCACACGATCAAGGTATATTTATGACTTAGTGAGAAACAAAATTAGTGTAACAAAATCTTTGTCATTCTTTTCTTGTAATCAAGCATAAGAAATAACTAACTTATTTTTTATATAGGAATCAAAGTGATTCTGGACTTTGTTCCAAACCATTCGAGCGACCAACACGAGTGGTTTGTCAATTCAGTGGCACGTGTTGCACCATACACTGACTATTATATCTGGAGAGATGGCGTTCACACTGCCAATGGTACAAATCCACCCAATAATTGGATCAGTGTATTCGGTGGTTCCGCTTGGACATGGAATGAACAAAGGCAACAATATTACTTGCATCAATTCAGTACTAATCAGCCAGATCTCAACTTAGAGAACCAAGATGTCATTGAGGAAACCAATAGGATTCTAAGATTTTGGTTAGAGAAAGGCGTCGACGGATTCCGAATTGGTTCTGTATCCCACCTCGTGGAAGATTCCAGTTTCCGAGACGAACCCATCAATGAAAATGCTGATGACTCGGTCCTTGAATCCGATTATGATTACTTGGAGCATATCTATACCACAAACCTAAACACATCCTTTGATCTTGTAGTTCACTGGCGAAGTGTCATTGATAATTACGTGGCAACCACAGGAAGTCAAAAGAAATTTTTAGCTGTAGAGCCAACTTCAAACACTGAAACAGCATTAAGGTATTTAATCGAATATAGATTTCTGTTCTCTTCTAAAATTATTAATTTTGTTAAACGTAATATTGAAATTTTCAGATTCCTTGGTAACGACACAAATCCTGGGGCTCACGCTCCACTCAATTTCAATATTATTAAAAATGTTACCCGTGCAACATCTTCAGCAGAAATCATCAGTTTAATAACAGAATGGTTGAACTTGCTATCCAAAAACATAACTCCCAACTGGGTTCTTGGAAGTCATGATTTCAATCGTGCATCTTCCCGCTTAGGGGTTAATCGCATTGATGGTCTCCACATGTTGTCCCTTTTGTTACCTGGACTGTCAGTTACATATCAGGGAGAAGAACTTGGTCTTCAGAACGTGCCGGTATCCTGGAACCAAACGCAAGATCCTAAGGGTCTGAATGCTGGTGAAAGTCGATTCGAGCTCTTCTCTAGAGATCCAGCTCGCACTCCGTTCTTGTGGGACGGTACAAGCAATGCAGGTTTCACAACGGGCTCTTCGACGTGGTTACCAATTACGAGTGATTTCCCAGATTGGAATCTTGCTATTCAAAGTAGTGAAAACAGAAGCTATTATAACACATATAAATCGCTGATAGAATTCCGCAAACTGGTAACATTTAAACGCGGAGCAACCAAAGTCCAGTCTCTGAATGATAACAGCGTGAGTACACCAACTAAAATGTCATGTTCTGAATAATCCTAGTTTGAAATAGTTTGTTATGAGCTGACCAATTTATTAATGTTGCTAGGTTATCGCATTCAGTCGCGAGCTTTCAAATGAACATACTTACTTAGTAGTTATAAACGTCGACATCTACCGCACTTCTGTTGATCTTACTGGATTTGATAATCTTCTCGGCGAAGATCTTGTCGTGTGCCTAGCTAGTGCAAATTCCATAACTGATACTGGGTTAGTACATTATATGACTGTATCATTTATAACTGTAAGCAAAACTGCTTCTTTTAATTGAAATTCATTTTATGCAGAGCGGACGTAAATCTCTCCGAAGTACAGCTGTCCGCCAATGCTGCTCTTCTCGTTTGCCCGAGATCAGCTCTACCCGAACCAGTTACGACTCCGGCACCTACAACACCCGCAGTCTCTACAGAATCACCTGTGGAAACAGAACCTATACTCGCCAATGATGAAATTGGCGGTGATCTTGATTGGTGGCAGACTGCTGCAATTTATCAAGTGTATCCGAAATCCTTTAAGGACAGTAATGGAGATGGAGTCGGAGATATTCAGGGTATCATCTCGCAGTTGGATCATTTCACTAACATTAGTGTCGATGCCATCTGGCTCGGTCCAGTATATACTTCGCCTCAGTACGATCATGGTTATGACGTGAGCAACTATCGTGACGTTGACCCACTGCTTGGTACTTTGGCCGACTTGGAATCACTTCTAGAGAAAGCGCATGCTAGAGGAATAAAGATCATACTTGATTTCGTACCGAACCACTCGAGTATCGAACACGAATGGTTTGTCAATTCTGTCGCACGTGTTGCACCATACACTGATTATTATATCTGGCGAGATGGCGTCTCCACTGACAATGGTACTAATCCACCGAATAATTGGATCAGTGTATTCGGTGGTTCTGCTTGGACTTGGAACGAAGAAAGGCAACAATATTATTTGCATCAATTTGGAACCAACCAGCCGGATCTCAATTTGGAGAACGAGGTTGTAGTTTCTGAGATCGACGACATTTTGAGATTTTGGCTCGAAAAAGATTTCGATGGATTCCGTATTGGTTCTGTATCCCACCTGGTAGAAGACTCCAGTTTCCGAGACGAACCCATCAATGAAAATGCTGATGACTCGGTCCTTGAATCCGATTATGATTACTTGGAGCATATCTATACCACAAACCTAAACACATCCTTTGATCTTGTAGTTCACTGGCGAAGTGTCATTGATAATTACGTGGCAACCACAGGAAGTGAAAAGAAACTTTTAGCTGTAGAGCCAACATCAAACACTGAAACAGCATTAAGGTAATTAACCGAATATAGGGTTCTGTTCTCGACTAAATCTATTAATTTTGTTAAACGTAATATTGAAATTTTCAGATTCCTCGGTAACGACACAAATCCTGGTGCTCACGCTCCACTCAATTTCAA